CGCCAACTCTTTATCAACGAATAGTGGGATTGACCGTCACATTATAACGCCCCCACGGCTGAAAGGGCGAGCATGTTTGGTGGGACAGGGATTCGAACCCGCAACCCTCTGATTGCAAGTCGAGCGCCTTATCCACCTGGCCATGCCGGGCCTAGCACGTGTATAGAAAGAGAAGATCAGGGATACTGAACATCTGAAACAATGAATTCTCCACGAGTGTCGGATCATTGCGAATGATATGAATATGATCCGCAGTGTTCAAAGAGAATGGAAATACCTTCTCCAATTACGCCTGGCCATGCCGGGTCTAACACGTGTATAGAAAGAGAAGATCAGGGATACTGAACATCTGAAACAACGAATTCTCCACGAGTGTCGGATCATTGCGAATGACACGAATATGATCCGCAGTGTTCAAAGAGAATGGAAATACCTTCTCCAATTACAAGGAGAGCATGTGGAACACATTATGTAAAATTAGTTGAAGTACCTATGGTTATAGACTCTTCGAACACCCTGTAGTCGAGTCAGGTTAGTTAGAATTGTAGAATGGTAAAAAATATTACTAAAAATCACAAAATACAAAAAGTAAATAACATGGATATTAATATTAAATTATTAATAATTATGGTAATAAATTACTTTTCTACAAAAGTAGGAGAAAATATTAATTAAGATAAAGTTTTAATCGATAGAAAAAAAAAGTACAAATAAATAGAGAAGAAAGTTTATTTGATAAACTTTGACTAATTTATTCTTTAAATATATTTTAATGTGTACAAAAGGATTGTATTTTATGTTTGGACATTTTGAAAGCTGTGCATTTAATTCAGGTTATTTATGTTTAGATGAAAAATGGTATTTGAATGTTTTTATTACATATTTTCTGTAAAATTACACTCTGAAGAGTGACCTTTGAAGTCACGAAATTGGTAGAGGAAAAACAAAAACGTTCAAGGATTGAAGCGTTTTGTTATACATATATATATATGTTCTTCGTAAAGTAACTCAATTCATCATTTATAACTATTCACTTCTGATGTCCGAACTCAAACAAAAAGATCCATAAAACTGTATCACTATTGCAAAATAAAGGACGAAGTTGGCATTCTTCTTAACAGCAATGTGAAGTATGGGACCTTTTTTTTTGTTAGTTAGTTAGAAAGATTATATAACCTTTCCTGGACCGGTTTGTCATTGTCCTTCATCTTAGAACGAAAGTCTTAGATTCTCAATTTCCGTCGGTGAGTCACGTAGGTTCATTGTAAAAACTTACTGCATTTTTTGACTTGATTTTGCTTCAATTTTAACAGTCGCCGTGCCCTCTTTTGTCGAAATCTTCGAACGAAACTGTTGCGGTCAAGAAGCAGACGACTTTCGTTGTGGCGGTAACTTCGGTCCGAGCGGCCCATTATTATATACTCTCTTTGCACTCTCAGCTTAGGGCAGCGACACCTATCCGAAGACCACGCGTACTCTCGAACCGAAATGGCAACCGTGTTCTTATATGACTGTATAACTTGTAACTCATAACGGATTTCGCCATTGACATATAAGTAGCTGAGTACTCGAACTCTGAGAACTAAAAAATAATATTAGATAACTTGCAACATCGTTTTAAGATATCAATAAATGAAAACCAAGAAATAGTATTAATGGAGATATAGAAATTATATGAAATATATCAATGTCTTAGAGCTAACACGGAAAATAACCAAACAGTTTGGTCGTGGTTTCTTTCTTTTTTTTTTCGGACAACATTTGTATTTTAACACTGACGTTAACGTTCTAAGAATTTCGAAAAGTTAACAGAAACAATAAGACAGCAGGTAGATTACGCCTAAAAACATTACAAGTAAAGTAAAAATAAAATTATAATAGTAACCATTTCAAGTTAAATGTTTATATTGAAAAAAAATCATACAAATCAAATCTCGGAATAGTCATTCCAAAGTAGAGAGGAATAAGAAAGATGAGTTCTTTCAAATACTCGATTTTATGTTCAAAATCAAAATGTTATTTTAAAAAACGGATAGAGCTATAACACAAAATCTTCTGCTGCTCTTCTTTGATTTTCTCTGACAACTTTAATTATTAGATAAAAATCAGTTGTTAAATTGTCCATTTGATCTAGTTTGATTAACAAAGTATCCGGACTTGAAACTTATATATAAGGCTGTCTTGGTTGGTTGATTTTATTCGAATCCAATTGAGTTGGAGCTGGTCTTTACAGGTATATTCAACAGTTTATTAATCTCGATAACGTAATTTTCCGTAGGTGTAATAAAATTTCCTGAAGCTACAGAAAGAAGGATAGATGAACTAAAAAAATATATCAATGCGATGTCTACTATACATTCGAATAGCAACGTGTACTTACCAAAGTCGCTGGTACAAAAGTGCTTTGTTTGTCTGTAAACTTTCTTACAGGGTAGACAGGCGTCTGGGGATGAAGAGAGGAGTTGTTATTTGCATTTAATTTTATTGTGAATAATCAAGATATTAGCTACTATAACATTATCAGTGATATTAATGTGACACCGAACACTTATGTGAAAAATATGTTTTATAATCAACTAACATAAGATTTGAGAACTTCTTTCTCAGGCTTATAGTGTCAACTTTTCTTCCGTCTTGGATCACCAGTCGTATTTTCTTTTCTTTTCTATTTGATAGTGCGATCAATAATTAACGTTACCAGACATTAAACTTAGATTACGTCAACTCTTCTGACGTTCTAATTGTTCACATAACATGATTCATTTAGAAGTCAGGTTGCTGGCTTTGGGTTCATATGTTAGTTTTTTCTTAATATAAACAAACCCAGCAATGCTATTACTGAGGTACGTTAAATATACCAAAAGTAATAATGTAACAGGTAACAGAAGTCGAAGTAATGATACAAGAAAGTTGATAAAATTGCCAGAGGCGATAATGCCATATTACCAGACAATGCCCTGAACTGTGTTTATAGGCATTCATAAATAAGAGTATTAATTCGTGATTAATTGATAATTTGACTTAGTTTACCAAACGTCACTCAGTATTAATATAACCTTTTATTTCGACGCCTATGAATGACAAAGTTCAAAGATTGTCCAAACATCCCTGAGATAAAAAAGATCAACACCTATCACATTACTGTCAGATACTGCTTACTGTAGCTGTTGTTTTACATCAGACCAGATTAAAACAAACCATCAGAAAAAAACATCAGCTTATGTGTGTTTGTGGGGATATTTTGTTTTCAAACTCCACTATTAATGTGGCAGGTAAACGGTCGGTACAAAATGTGTTGATGAGGGTTAACAGTATCTATGCCTTTTTACAATCTAATATACACGTCTCAATAATTTTGTGCCTGAAACTCATGAAAATAATTTACTTTTATTTGTATGTAACTAAGAATATCAAAAAATAACCCACATGACAAAATGGGAATTCATAAAAAATCTCTTTACGAAATTGCTACAAAAAATCTCTCCATTTATTTGGTTTTTTGGGGCGTAATTTCTTGTCACGTTCTGAAAGTAAGCATTTAGAAACGAAACATATTATCACTTATTATGTCTTATGAATGCCACATTTTACATTTGAAAATCTATTGAT